AATTGAATCAGTAATAAAAAATCTCCCAACAAACAAAAGTCCAGGGCCAGATGGCTTCCCAGGGGAATTCTACCAAACATTTAAAGAAGAGTTAATACTTATCCTCAAACTGTTCCAAAGAACAGAAATGGAAAGAAAACTTCCAAATTGCTTTTATGAAGCCAGTATTACTTTGATTCCAAAACCAGACAAAGACCCCACTAAAGGAGGGAATTACAGGCCAATATCTCTGATGAACATGGATACAAAAATTCTCAACAAGATACTAGCAAATAGTATCCAACAGTACATTAAAAGAATCATTCAACACAATCAAGTGGGATTTATTTCTGGGATGCAAGGGTGGCTCAATATTCACAAATCAATCAAGGTCATACACCACATTAATAAAAAAAAGGTAAGAGCCATACGATCCTCTCAATAGATGCAGAAAAAAGCACTTGATTAAGTATAGCATCCATTCTTGATAAAAACCCTCAACAAAGGGCGCCTGGGTGGCTCAGTTGGTTAAGCAACTGCCTTCGGCTCAGGTCATGATCCTGGAGTCCCGGGATCGAGTCCCGCATCGGGCTCCCTGCTCGGCAGGGAGTCTGCTTCTCCCGCTGACCCTCCCCCCTCTCATGCTCTCTCTATCTCATCCTCTCTCAAATAAATGAATAAAAAAAAAAAAAAAACCCTCAACAAAGTAGGGATAAAGGGAACATAACTCAACATCATAAAGGCCATGTACGAAATACCCACAGCTAATATCATCTTCAATGGGGAAAAAACAGAGCTTTTATTTTATGGTCAGGAACAAGACAGGAATGTCCACTCATCATTGTTATTTTAACATAGTACTGGAAGTCCTAGCCTCAGCAATCAGACAACAAAAAGAAAAGGCATCCAAATCTATGAAGAAGTAAACTTTCACTCTTTGCAGACAACATTGATACTCTGTAGAAAACCCAAGACTAAAGCAAAAAATTGCTAGAACTGATATATAAATTCAGTAAAGTCACAGGATACAAAATCAACATATAGAAATCTGTTGCATTTCTCTACACCCATAATTAAGCAGAAGAGAGAGAAATCAAGGAATTGATCCCAATTATAATTGCACCAAAAACCATAAGATACCTAGGAATAAACCTAACCAAGGAGGTAAAGGATCTGAATTCTGAAAACTATAGAACGCTTATGAAAGAAATTGAAGAGGACAAAAAGAAATGGAAAAACATTCTATGCTCAATGACTGGAAGAACAAATATTGTTAAAATGTCTATACTACCCAAAGCAATCTACACATTTAATGCAATCCCTATCAAAATGCCACCAGCATTTTTCACACAGCCAGAAAAAACAATCCTAAAATTTGTACATTAACACAAAATAATCTAAATAGCCAAAGCAATCTGGAAAAAGAAAAGCTGAAGGCATGACAATTCCAGACTTCAAGCTATATTACAAAGCTGTAGTGATTAAGACTGTATGGTACTGGCAGAAAAACAGACACATAGATCAATGAAACAGAATGGAAAACCCAGAAATGAACCCAAAACTATATAGTCAACTAATCTTCAAGAAAGCGGGAAAAAAATATCCAATGGAAAATAACAGTCTCTTCAACAGATGGTGTTGGGAAAACTGGACAGCAACATGCAGAAGAATGAACCAGACCACTTTCTTTCTTTCTTTCAAGATTTTATTTATTTATTTGACAGAGAGAGACATAACGAGAAAGAAAACACAAGCAGGGGCAGTGGGAGAGGGAGAAGCAGACTTCCCAACATGGGTCTAGATTCCAGGACCCTGGGATCATGACCTGAGCGGAAGGCAGACGCTTAATGACTGAGCCACCCAGGCGGCCTAGACCACTTTCTTACACCATACACAAAAATAAACTCAAAATGGATGAAAGCCCTAAATATGAAACAGGAAGCCATCAAAATCTTAGGGGAGAACACAGGCAGTAACCTCTTTGACCTTGGCTGTAGCAACTTCTTACTAGACATGTTACCAGAAGCAAGGGAAACAAAAGCAAAAATGACTATTGAGATTTCATCAAGATACAAAGCTTCAGAGCAAAGGAAACAACAAACCTAGAAGGCAACCTACGGAATGGGAGAAGATATTTGCAAATGACATATCTGATGGAGGGTTAGTGTCCAAAACATACAAAGAACTTATCAAACCAAACACCCATAAAACAATCCAGTTAAGAAATGGGCAGAAGACATGAATAGACATTTTTCTAAAGAAGACATTAAGATGGCTAACAGACACATGAAAAATGCTCAAGGTCATCATCATCAGGGAAATACAAATCAAACCACAGTGAGACCACCTCACACCTGTAAGAGTGCCTAAAATTAACAACACAGGAAAATAACAGAGGTTGGCAAGAATGCTAAGAAAGAGGAACCCTTTTGCACTGTTGGTGGGAATGCAAATTGGTGTAGTGACTCTGGAAAACAGTATCGTGTTCACTTCAGTAGCACATATACTAAAATTGGAAAAGAGTATGGAGGTTCCTCAAAAAGTAAAAATAGAACTAAGCTATGATCCAGCAACTACACTACTAGTTATTTACCCAAAGGGTACAAACATATTGATTCAAAGGGATGTGTGCACCCTGATGTTTATAACAGTATTATCAACAATAGCCAAATTATGGGAAGAGCCCAAATATTCATTGACTAATGAATGGATAAAGAAGGGGTGGCATAAAATGGAATATTACTCAGCCATAAGAAAAAAATGAAATCTTGCCATTTGCAATGACGTGGATGCAGCTAGAGTGCCTTATGCTAAGTGAAATAAGTCAGAGAAAGACAAATACCATATCATTTCACTCATATATGGAATTTAAGAAACAAAACGGATGAATATAGAAGAGGAAAAAAAGGGGGCCTCTGGGTGGCTAGGTTGGTCAAGTGTCTGCTTTCGGCTCAGGTCATGATCGCAGGGTCCTGGGATCTAGCCCTGTATCGGGCTCCCTGCTCTGCGGGAAGCCTGCTTCTCCCTCTCCCACTCCCCCTGTTGTTCCTGCTCTCGCTGTGTCTCTCTCTGTCAAATAAATAAATAAAATCTTTATTTAAAAAAAAAATAAGAGAGAAGCAAACAATAAGAGATTCTTAACTATACAGAGTGAACTGAGGGTTGATGTAGGAAGGTGGGCAGGGGGATGGGCTAAATGGGTGATGGGGATTAAGGAGGGCACTTGTTGTGATGAGCACGGGGTGTTATAGGTAAATGATGAACCACCGAATTCTACTCCTGAAACCATATTACACTATATGTTAACAAACCACAATATAAATAAAAAACTGATACAAAGAAATAAAGATTAAAATACTAGGCCAGTGAAAATCAAAAAAGAGGAAATTGAAAAATTGTCAAACCTTCAAGTGTCAATGTAGTCGAATAGAACAGTGAGCCAAACTGAAAGTAATAATGAAGGCTTTATTCCTTTCCTGTGCTACTGCAGGTAAGAAGCAAAGAAAAATGCTGGCTCTTCAATGTTCCATTTTTTATCATGGAATGGTACCAGGCATGGGCCAGTCAGATGATAGGCAGTGCTGGCAGTGGAAAATGTTTCACTGCTGAAGAGCTGGACAAAACACTCCTACCATTTTATGGACTTGGGGCTTGGGAGAAGGAAAAGGGGTAATGGCTAGGAGTAAAAAAGTACTGAGTCAGAAGGGAAAAAAGTTTTAGTCGAGGTCCCCTGATAAAGAAGTCTTGGTAGAGGCTCCACTGTATGGAGGCCTCTGAATGGAGGCAGTTGGGCTAGGAATGCTGAATGTGTATCAGCAATGTTGGCTCAGGGGTGGAATGAGGGTCTGAGTCCTTGATTGCAACTCCTTCCAGAGACTGCAATACACTGACCATGCAGCAAGTCTGTTGTGAGGAGGGCAGGTTTCCCCCACGAGGCCAGCTTGGTAAAGCCTGTGCAATTGCCTGTCATTGAACCTGAAGGAGCACGTATAACGTTTTGGCCTGGAACTAGACTCCAGTGGAATTTAATGTTAAAATAGTAACAGCATAAAGAAAGATGTATATAATGTCACAACAAATTAAAAAGATGTTATAAACCTCTTGGCACCAAGGAAAGATAAATATACAAAAGTATTAGAAATTTAGAAACCTGATTTTTTAAAAATGTACCTACAGGAGATATAGCATCAGTGACATCTAGAAATGGTATTGAATTGATACATATATGTATATATATACATACACACACGTGTATGTAAGTTCACATAACAGCTGACTCATATAAATTATTTCAGTTGCATTTCATTTGTGTTGCTAAGGAAGAAGAGCATCTGAGACAAAATTTGCAGAATTCCGAAGCTGGTTCTTATTCTGTGTTAGAGCACTAATTTTTTTTCATGCATTATCACACTTAAACTGTGATCAAGACAGAATTTTTTTTTATGTTGTTAATCACCATACATCATTAGTTTTTAATGTAGTGTTCCATGATTCATTGTTTGCGTATAACACCCAAGACAGAATTTTTTTAAGTAATCTCTGTGCCCAATATGGAGTTGAACTCATGACCCTGAGATCAAGAGTCACATGCTGTATCCACTGAACAGGCCAGGCACCCAAGACAGTATTTTTTAAAATACATTTAATATTTAGATTTACCCATAGATTTGTATTTTCTGATGCTTTCTTCTCCTTGTGTTTTCCTTCTATCTGAAGAATTCCCTATTAGTATTATTTTTGGTCTAGATTTAAGAGCTTTTGCTTTAAAGAATATTTTGTTTTCATTTTGAAGGATATTTTCACTGGGTATAGAATCCTAGGTTGGTAGATTTTTGTTTCACTTTATTATGTTAGTACTGAAAATTTGTCTTCTAGATATCTATCATTTTTCTTGGAAAGTCAGTCATCAACTAGTCTTGTTGCTCCTTAGAGGGGGAATGGTCTTTGTTCTCTGGCAACTTTTAAGATTTCTCTCTTTAAAAAAAAAAAAAAAAAAGATTTTTCTCTTTATCTTTCAACAGTTTTACAGTGCTCTTAAAACAGGAGATGATCATTGTGTTGGAGCTCTGTGATGGAGGAGGAAAGCAGTAAAACATGAGGTAAAAGTTAATGGTACAGATCATGTAGGGCTTTGCAGGATATGGTAAGGACTTTGGGTTTCACTGAATGCTGTGGAGATCTATGGAGTGTTTTAATCAGAAGAGTGACCTATGATCTGATATACAAGTTTTAAAAGGATAAATTTGAATTGCATTGGGAATGTCAGGAAGACCCATTAGTACACTACTGTAATAATGAAGATGAAGGATGATTATTTTTCTAAATCATAAACGAACAATGAAATGTACTCTCAAGCAACTGTTAAAATATTTTTTTCTTAGTCAATGTGCAGAATGATAGATTTCCTAACATTAAACCACTCTTGCATCCTTGGGATAAAACTAATCTGATAGCATATTTTTAATATGTTTATAAATTTAGTTTGCTAGTTTTTAGAAAATTTGTAATTTGTTGCATTTATGTGCATGACTGGGTTTAGGAAAGTAATTTTGTTCCTCAGACCATCCTTTTCTGGTGTGGTATATCAAGAGTACACTGTGCGACTGGCTTTATAAAAGGAATTAGGATGTTTTCTTAAACCCTAACCTTTTAGTCTCATTTCTAGGATATTTGAAAGACATTCTGGTCTTGGTTTATCTTTTATGGGTAAATTTTTAACCCAGAATTGATTTAATGATGATGTTTTTTCCTTCATCAGTTTTGCTAGAGGCTTTTTAAAAAAATTATTTTCAGATAGAGGTTTTGATTTTGTTGATCCTTTATTCTACTTGCTATTAATTTTTCCTCTATTCATTCTAATTTTTTTTTAAAGATTTTTATTTATTTGACAGAGAGAGACACAGTGAGAGAGGGAACACAAGCGGGGGGGAGTGGGAGAGGGAGAAGCAGGCTTCCCGCGGAGCAGGGAGCCCGATGTGGGACTCGATCCCAGGACCCTGGAACCATGACCTGAGCCGAAGGCAGTTGCTTAACGACTGAGCCACCCAGGCGCCCCCTATTCATTCTAATTTCTTTAGGTTCATTTTGCTATTGTCTTTCTCCTTTACTAGGATGATTAGGGTCATTACATTTTTAATCTTCATTTCCAGTATATGCATTGAAGCATAGAAACTTTTTTAAAAAAGATTGTATTTATTTATATTGGGGGTGGGCCAAGGGGTAGGGAGACAATTCCAAGCAGGCTCCACGCCCCCTGTGGAGCCCGACCTGGGGCTCCACCTCACAACCCTGATATCATGACCTGAGCTGAAACTGATATGCAAATGCTCAACTGACTGAGCCACCCAGATGCCCCGAAGCATATGAACTTCTCTAACTGCATGTTACCAATTTTTCTTTTTAAGATTTTGTCAGAGAAAGAGCGAGCAAGTGAGCACAAGCAGGGGGAGCAGTAAGCAGAGAGAGAAGCAGTCTCCCCGCTGAGCAGGGAGCCCAATGCGGGGCTCGATCCCAGGACCCTCGGATCATGATCCAAGCTGAAGGCAGACGCTTAACTGACTGAGCCACCCAGGCGTCCCGTTACCAAGTCTTATATGCAGCTTTTATTTATTTAAATATTGCTGAACACTTACATGCATTCTTGTGTATTGCAATGAGAAAAATAGATCTTAAATCTCAGAGGTGCAATTGCAATTTAAGATAAAAAAATCTTAATATATAAAAGTTTATAGTCATTCCATTAGAAGTATTTTCTAATTTTTAACATGCTTTGATGTTTCATGAAGTTAATTTTTTCAATTCAAGCATATGGGCATAAGAATTTCTTTTGGACTATCTTCATAGGTTACCTCTAGTCTTATTGTGCTGTTGTCTGAAAATCTGTATAATGGTCTTTGGTGTTTATTGAGATTTGCTTTGTGATTTACTGATATTTTTATAAATATTCCATGTGTACTTAAAGTTTTACCTAACAATTGAGTGATAGTTTATGTAAGTCTATTAGATCTAGCTTTTAAAATTCTATTCAATTCTTTTAATTACTTACCACCTACTATCAGTTATCACAGATACCTTAGGCCTAAATTTCTCTTTGTAACTGTCAATTGCTTTATAGATTTCAAAGCTTGAGTTTTTTTTTTTTTATTCCTGGTGAGAATTGCTCCATTTATCATTATTAAAGCTCACTTCTTATTCCAACACTTAATTTTTTCACCTTAAAGTCAATTTTATCTGATTAATATTTTCACAATTTCATTTGATTGGCATCTTATTCCATTAATTTAAACTATTACATCATTGTGTTTAATAGTTATCTTTGTAAAAACCACATAATTTTTAAACTGGCAAGTTTATGGTATTTGCATTTACTGTAACTACTGACATTTGGATTTCTATTATTTTGTGTGATTTGTTCTTTCTCTTTGCCTTCAACAGGGTTTTCTTAACTACAAATTATTTCCTTCCTACTTAATACTACTTTTAATTTAACCTAACTCTTGCGAACTGTAAAACAGTACACAAATCCTTCCAGGTTTACACTGCTTTTTACCATCACAGTGAACTTAAATAGGAACCAAATGTAGTCATTTGGCAATGCTGCTGCTGGACACTAGTTCACACTGCCTTCTGGCATTTGCAGGCTATGTGAACCTCTTGCACCTTTTTTTCTTTACACTTAAAAAGGGAGAATTTTTAAGGATAAAGTATTGGGAGGTACTTACAATCAACAGACATTCCTTCTTCACCGCTGGAAGGCTGTCTTTCCTATTTAATTACTAGTGACTTAGGTTTTTCAACAAACAAGCAAAACAAACCTAAATCCTATCCAATTCTCCCCAATTCAGCATAAGACGAATAGGAATGAAATGTCAATTGTTAAGCCTTCTAGACTTAAGTATTCATTTGCATTTCATTGGACAGTCTAAAGTACATGGGGGTATAAACATTTTTCTAGACGGAGGATCCATTAGCCTTTGATTCTTTTGTTTTTCTGTCCCTATAAGATTAAGCACCAAATGCTCTAATCTAGACCAGGGGCCTTAATCATTTTCTTATCCCAACATCCTAAACTACTTGATACATTTTTGTTAAGAATAGCAATTTTCTGGGGCGCCTAGGTGTCTCAGTCGGTTAAGCGTCTGCCTTTGGCTCAGGTCATGATTCCAGGGTCCTGGGATGGAGCTCCGCATTGGGTTCCCTGCTCGGCCGGGAGCCTGCTTCTCCCTCTCCCCCACCCCCTTGTGATCTCTGTGTCAAATAAATAAATAAAATCTTTAAAAAAAAATAATTGCAATTCTCAAGCAAGAGCTATTATGAGACTTAACGGGGCATGGAGCTCCTCTATGCCTACTGAAAATGTCTAAAGTCTTCAAATTCATTTATTATTACATTTTCTCTTCTAGTATATAAAGCTAAATTATTCTCTGACAACATATCCAACATGAGCAAACTATTTTAGTTTTCAGAATCAATTGCATCTGAAGGTTTGAAAAATTCGCCCATTTAATTAAAGACCCTCATCAACAAGCAAACTTTTGTAAATGTTTCTGATGACTTGTCCACAAACTACCATCAAGTCAGTGAAGTTCAATATGTGAAAATTAAACCTAAGGTGTACAAAACATGGTTCAAGAAGCAGATATATATTTATTCTAATTACATGACTTGACAATGTGCACTGTCATCCAAACATTAATTGCATTTATTACCAATTGCTATTTGTTCACTAGTATGAAGATGTCAATTTACATACATAAAATGTTTTATATACTTTGATCCTGCCATATGTAAACATTTTTAAGGATGTAGTGAACCAAAATTGTGTTCCAGTTGTGTATTCCTAGAATGTTATCAATATAACATCTCAAACCATTCTCATGTTGGTTCATTGAAGCTGAGGTCTATTACATGCAAAAATCAGTTATTTTTTTCATAGACACGTCATACTTGGTTGATATTATGCATTGCACTGGTTACTCTGTGTATAGAAAACAAACTGGGAAATTAAGAAATCAAATGTAGTTTTCTTAAAAAAAGAAAAAATAGCTAGTAGGAACTAAACTGCCAGAAATTATTTTACACTAATGACTAGAGTCAGAGTCACCATGTACAGAAATTATTTTAATAATGGTTGAAGAAAAAATGACTTGGATGCCATATTGTTAGAACTAAAACAATTTGATAATTTCATTAAAAAACTGCTTCTGTATACTGTAGTATTGAACAATGGCTTCATCCTACCAAGTATAAAAGGTAACCACTTTTAATGTGAGTCTCCTTGTAAAACACTAAGCCATAAAATTTTATTTCAGGGACAAAAATACAACACTTTAAAACATTACCTTGATTTCCCTATCTCTAATTACATATTAACATCTTATTCTGGATGGGTCCGTATGATTTCAAGAGGATTTTACTCAAGGTTTTGGAAGCAAAAAATTTAGGAAATTGTAAAAAAAACAAGGAAGATGCACAGTACATGTACGTAAATCAGAAAGCAACAAACAATGGAAGGTGGCTAACCCTTAAACAACTATTTTGAATTTCTGAACCTTGTTATTTTGTCACATTGATATTTGTATTAAAAATAAGGAATGCTGGGTTTCTTAATACATAATAATTCACAAAATTGACCTCTTTCGGTCCAGAACTACTTAAAAGAATTCTACTTGAAAGTATTCTAAAGGCCAAAACATGAAAAATCTAGAAGCCATTATTAAATTTTAGAGATATTATATATGGAAACTTACAACACGGCTTTCAAGTATGAATTTAAGAGTCAAAATATTCTTCACAGTAAGATTTGGTATTTAAAGGGGACAAAGGCAATAAAATTAGCTATCAAAGTGATAGGACAGCAGTGAAACTATTTTTAAAAATCCATGAAATAAAAGACCTAAAGAATAATCTAAAAAAAAAAAAAACAACAAAATATGCTTGAGAAAAATAGGATTATTTAAGAGCTTAGAACTGGATGACAGGATAAATAAAACAAGATTAACCAGAAATAATAAGATCATTTCCATCTACAAGTTTATACACTATAAAAGTAAAACATACTGAATTTTACTTATCTCTGTACAGGATGGGTTATTTTTAGGTTATCATTTTACTTCTTTAATAAATCACCCTGTGACTCAGAACATGACAGTAATAGATTCCAAAGCAAAGATTATACTGTTGATTTTTATTATGGTTATGGATTTTGACCTGCTTGACAGAGTCAAATAATCATGATTCAATTATTAGTTTTTTTCTTTGATTTGAATGTTCCAAGTCATTTAATAATGTATTTTAATAGATGTGCTTTTTCTTTTAGTACCTACTCTAATAATATGCTAGAGGTATCCTTAGGGATCTGAAAGATGAAAGAATGATTACCACCTAATAGGTACTTGACCACTGCCATAGACATTTAAGTTTTCTTCCTTTAAGCAGTGTCAGTTTAATATTCTAAGAATTCCAGGTGCCCTTTTTTGTGTGAAACAAGTACCCTTGAATTTAGCAAGAAAAAAATTTAGACATCTGATTTATAAACCCAAAGCTGTTTTCTTAGGAAACACAGGAATATATGGGAGAACATTAATTTTAGTACATTTTTAAATTAGAGATGTGGAAGCAAAACAGATGAAGTTTTTTGTTTGTTTTGGTCTTTTTGATCTGCATTAATTTTTGTTACTTTTTTATCAAAAGAAAAAATTATATGCTTCCTGGGAACTTTTAAAATGGTAAGACCTTGGATTAAGTAAGACCTTGACAAAAAACAAAAGGTAATTATAAACCTGCTTTTTCTTTTTTGATCAGAAAGTCTGTTTTCTGAAATTGCTTTAAAAAAGATTAGTTTGCTAAATGGTAGTCACAAACCACTGTAGAGTAAGAGGATAATAAAATATTAGAACCACACTTGATAAGCATCCCTACTACCTATGTCATTTGAAAAGTTATCAAGTGGCTCCTTTAAGCAGTGCCGTCAGATTTTAAATACTGATAAAATTAAGTTTTATGCCTATCATTAATTTTGTAGGATCAAATATCACAAAGCCAAATTCCACTTAAAACTTCCAAAGTTTAATCACAAAATAACATTTACCTTAGAATTGAGGTTTTTGGTTGAAATTCTAAAAGGTGAGAAGGGTGAAGTTATATCTGCCATTTAAGATTCACTTCTATGGTATGTAAGACCAAAGCCAGGGTTTCAGTTGTTGTGAACTACCAAATATCAGCTATTAAAAAAAATTCCTAATGGGAAGGTTTATAGGTTTATTATTACAACTCAAATTTATGAAAATGGAGGAATGGTTCTATGTATTTTGGGTCAAACTGAAGTCAGCTAATTGGTTTACTGTATTTGCCTCTTGTCTTTAAATACTGATTTCTCACAAACAGTTCAAGATGTGCTAATTTGGATAAAATGCTTTAACACTCATTATATTGAATATTGAGCCCCAAAATTCACTTTAATATAGACTTCTATCTAGGAAATAATCATAAATATACTAAAAATTGGCCAAGAAACTAAGAAATCTTTATTTCTTCTTAATAAAAGTTTAATTAATTATATTCTTTTAAACGGAGATGATCTGCTTATTCCAAAAGCCCAATTCTTTGGTGTGCTGTTTCTAGTTGTTAACTTAAGAATTCTGTATACTGCTAAGGAATTGAAACATCTCAAACTTTCTTATATTATGTACTTAAGCAATCTTTGTTTTTAAAATCACAGTATTATTGGCTATCAGGAGTTGGATTCTGAAATCAAGTAATTTCTACTTTTCCAAAGCGTGCTAATCTAGATTAACCATCCTAGATATTTTCTACATACTTAGTTCGTATTTGCTTATTATAGGAAAACATTATAATTTTCTAGGTCTTTTAAAATAACTTCTAAAATAGTGGCCTTTTTGAAAAAATTTTTGTCTAGTACTGCATATATTTCAGTGCAGATTAAAATTAAACTGAACCATGCCTTCCACCCAAAACTGTATTAAGGAGAACATATTTTCCTTTATTAATATATTCAATAAATAACCACATCATAAAGGTTAAAGGGCTTTTGAAAATATCATTTAAGTTGAATGAGTAGGAAAAGTATACATATTATCTTTGGATGTATTTAACTTATTAAGTCAGGTGTTATATAACTGCAAGAAGTGGAATGTTATATATCTGACTAAAACAGAGCTACATAAACTGAAGAGAAGAACAGGAAATGTCAGGTATAATTAGACAATTCAGATGCAGAAAGGGCTATTTCCTCATCTGTTTGCAAGAAGTTATGGAGCTACATAGCTCTTAACGAAGTTGGTGGAGATTTTCTTGTTAACTCAAGAAAAAGCTATAAACTCCCTAAATGTGTACTGTTGAAATATTCCTTCCTAACTTTGATGCTATTCCTGAAATGAACCTATATATTCAACCTATAAAGGAAAAGTAACTGATGCTTTAAAGAAAAAAAAAGTACTTCATTACTAATGGATATAATTAGTTCACTTCTGGAGTATTAAGACAAGGATAAGTTTAAAGACTAGAAGACATTAAAAATATATTGGGTCTATATGATTTTTTAATGCAAAAAAGGGACATCTCCCTCAAAAAGGATGAATAAAAATCCCTGCAAAATGCACTGCTCCATACTCTCCCCTTCAGGGCAGACTACATTGTAGAAACAAAATCTCTCTTAAGAGAACTATTTGTGAGTAATAATGACTATCCCTAAAGATATTCAACTCTCAATTTTTACTACTTAAGAAAAGTCAGTATTAGTTGTTCTTAATTTAAAGGTTTAGCTTTGGGGAAAAGTGAGCCTTTCAAAATTTTTAACTTAGGTTAATCTAGTTGATTGGCATGAAACAAAGTGCCCATGGCATTGTCTATGCTTCTTGTAGGTTTGGAAAGTCATTTCAGTCTGCTCCCATACTTAAATAGTTTCAAGCCTCTGGAAGGAACTGAACAATGTGAACAAGTCTGGTGATGAAGCACAGATTAAGTCCTTCAAATATCTTAATTTCACAGTCCTTTGTCCCATATAATAGATGTAAGAAGCACCAAAACTGGAGCCAAGATCTGAACAGGTAATGTAACAGCAGGAACTATAATTTAATCACATCATATCATATTACACTTATGTAACATTCTATATTTTGCCTGTTGATATGTAACATAGTTAAGTTTATTACAAGCATTATTTCCTAAGACTTACGGTAGAAGTACTTCTTTTCAAGTATTACCGCTTATTTAATAGTGTTTATCTATTTCTTAACATTAATCAGTGATAAATGTATATTATGCGATACACATTGTGCCATTTCTCCCTACCCTGTGTTATTAACAAAATCAATTAAGAAAACCAAAACATTAAAACTGAAACAAGGCTATCAACATCACAGATGCATGTCTGAGTAGGTCAACAGCATTTCCCCCTTAACATGAAGGTATTTTCATCAAAAATGCTTCTTATTTTTAGGCTAGTATTACTTTAGCAGCAGCTGGTCTTCAGGACAAGTGGATCAGAAGTTTCAAGTGAAAATGACACTGAATTACTCTGAGAAAACATCAATCCACATTACTAATGAAAGATGCAAACTGCTGGTGTCACCGTAACATAAAAATTGTGTTTTCCCTTTCAACATGTGATTTATTTCATTTATGTGATGACAATACTTTGGAGTTCTCATGGCACAACCAATGAGATTATTTGTTTTCATATTTAAATTCTAACTACAATAACTAGAAAAAAAGTCAGTGCCTCAGTGGCTTTAAACCACATCAATTTCAATGTTTTTCAAAATGATGATGCAATTAAATCTATGCTTCTGCAACAATAGTGCAATACAATATCCTCTCCTGAATACAGGAGCTGAGGTTTATCCAAGTAGAAGCTTTAAATAAGGTAGATTGTTGCCAAATATGTATCAGTCTCGCATGTTTGATATAACATGTATTAGGAAAGCTAAAACTGACTTGTAATCTATACTCAGCTAAAGCTTCACATAAGCAGCAATGGAAATGAACAGAGGTGCACTCAATATAAAACACTTTTCAAAACTACTCCAAAAAACAAATGACAAAAAGTGGTTAAAGAACAACTGAACATATGTTGTGTGTACCACATGTAAAAGGAAGAATGGACCTTGTGGTTGCTTGCACTGTTTGAATTATGTGAAGGTAAATTTAAGACTTAGTCCACTTCCATCTCTCCAGAAGATTTAGTATGCTGGGAGCTGTCTTTTGTTGTATCTGGTTTAGTTTCAGTCCCACTCTGTCCATCCATTGGTCCATTGTGTTCACTATTAGCTTTTGCTTTGTCTTCAGCAACCTCTACTTTCGGTTTGGGCTTGTAAATGATGGGGTTACAGAAATTATCCAGTTCCTAAAGACATGAAGAAAAGTGATTATTTTAAAAATACTACAGAATAAGTTATCATTAACTTTCTAAATTTCCACATTAATAGGACATTCCTGAATTTATGTTAGCTCAGTCAGAAAACCAAGTTTCTTCAAATACGTCAATGAAGCATTTACTTCAGGGTTAGTGCATGTTAGTGTTGACAACGAACTCTTCAATCTTTAATAAATTCTTTGTATCTAATTTTCCTAAAACCTGGTTCCTCATAATTTTCTTGTTTTCTTGGGCAGAAATAATTTTTAATTCATTCCTTTAAATTATGCCTAATGCTCTGAGAATTATGTCAAATAACACCTATCTCATAAATTGATATTTACATGAAAACAGCTTTAATAAGTGGAATTGTAGAACTATGCTGAAGGAAAAATAAGTCATGAATGTAAATGCAACTTAATATAATAACTTTAAGTACAATGTATTTTCTCTATCTTTGCTTATTTCTTTTTAACACAGAAATAAAAGACCATTAAAATCTTTCAAGACCAGTGTCACAGAGATTGGGATGGTGATGGAAAGATAGGAAGGAGTGTTAACATCCTGGGGAAACTGCTCTTATCACACTATGTCTCAATTGATGAGGCGTAAATTATTATGGCTTCTTCGCAAAACTTTCTCAAAAGGAAAATATTTTGCTTAAATACCTGTTTTTGTTTAAAAAAACCCAGAAAAACAAAAACCTTGAAAACATACTCAACTAGAAAAGAAAAAAAAAAAGCACCTGAAATTCCATCTTCTACAGATTAACATGAACATTTTGGTGAATATCCTTCTAGATGTATGTCCATGCATACACATACATGCAAAGCTACAGATCTATGAAGATGCTTGCTAAATAACTTCATTTAGATTCTATAATCTTTCCTTTTCCATTCAATATGTTGTATACATCTTTCTATCTAAATATCTCTCTATATCTAAAATTATGTAATGATTGCAAAGTGTTGTGTGGATGCTTCAATTTATCTAGTTTCTTACGGCTAGGTATTTGTTTCTTCCAATTTTTTGCTAACTAATAAGCAAGGGTATTTATGTGCCTATACCTGTGCAATGATCAATTTAGGATGAATTCCTAGAACTGTGATTTCTGGGTTAAAGGGTATGTATACTTCCTTTAAATTTCTATACATATACTGATAAAAAATGTTTTAACGAATTCAACCAAGTTGCTCAGGGAGAGCATCTGTTGCTTTGCACCCTTGACAACTTATGACAAAGCTTACGAATGTAAACACACAACCATGAATCCGATGAAAAGAGATGGGTGAGAAGAACGTGATGAGGATGAACACCTTTTCCTATACTTATCAGACATATATGCCTTTTTTGGTCAATTGCTTATCCTATGTCTTTACTAATTTTTCTACTTAGCTGATTTTTTTAAGATTTTATTTATTTATTTGACAGAGAAAAACACAGTGAGAGGGGGAACACAAGCAGGGAGAGTGGGAGAGGGAGAAGCAGGCCTCCCGTGGAGCAGGGAGCCTGAGGCGGGGCTCGATCCCAGGACCCTGGGATCATGACCTGAGCCGAAGGCAGACTAGCCACCCAGGCGCCCCGATGCTGATCTTTATTATAAAATTTGTCTCCATGTTTTTCATGGTGTTTTTTTCTATGGTAATCTCTGATATTTTCATGGGTAATGTTTTTTAGACCGGGAAATTTATCTCAGAAGTAAGATTTTTACGACAGAATTTTACAGGTTTCAAATGATGTCAAAGACCAACACTGCCAAGTTTTACAATGGAGATTTAGAAGTCTTATCTAATCCCGAAAAATCTAAAGTATTTAACAGCAAGTTGTCATATTGCTTTCTTTCTTTCTGCACTACACTTAAAATGTAAAAAAAAAAACAGCCTTGTGTATGTGACTAAATCAAGAAACAGGGATGTCCCACCTAGAATCTTTTTTGCAAAATTACAAATGAGCCTTAAATTTGTTTCTCTAAGTTCTTTTGCAAGTTGATGATTTCTCAAAGTATGGCTCCCATTAAAAATGTTTAATGCTTGGGTGCCCTGGGTGGCTCAGTCGTTAAGTGTCTGTCTACCTTCGGCTCAGGTCATCGGCTCAGGTCATGATCCCAGGGTCCTGGGATCGAGTCCCGCATCGGGCTCCCTGCTCGGCGGGAAGCCTGCTTCTCCCTCTCCCACTGCCCCTGCTTGTGTTCCTGTTCTCACTGTCTCTCTGTCAAATAAATAAAATCTTTTTTTTTTTTTTTTAAAGATTTTATTTATTTATTTGACAGAGACAGACACAGTTAAGAGAGGGAACACAAGCAGGGGGAGTGGGAGAGGGAGAAGCAGGCCTCCTGCCGAGCAGGGAGCCCGATGCGGGGCTCGATCCCAGGACCCTGGGACCATGAAAGATGCTTAACGACTGAGCCACCCAGGTGCCCCAAATGAAGTCTTAAAAAAAATGTTTAATGCTTGAACCCATTAAAAAGAGAATTTTATAGTTACTTACCTTTGACTTCGCAACTATTTCTGAAACTTTCACCACAGGATCTTGAGTGAGACTTAGTTTGTTCTGTGCATTCATCTTACTGTTCAGCCAACTCATGGCTTCACTGATATATTTTTCAACTTTTTCCACATCGGCAGGATCCAAATGATCGTATCTTTCATCCTATTAAAAAAATTTTAATGTAAAATTGTCAGTAATGCATCAATTAATAATTTCTATTTAAAAGATTTAGATTCTTATTGAATGTATACCTCACACATATCCATGTGAAGAAGCCACATACAAATTATATAGACTTGAAGAGACTGGGAGAAAGAAAAAAAATCAGTGTGTTTTAAAAGGAAAGGCTTTCTGAAGAAGTCAGGTTTGCCAAAAAATGCCTACTTAGCCAAGAAAGAAGATGCACGGAATTGAATTTGTTAGGGAATAAAGAGAAATAAGAGAAGAAGGCATACCGCAAGCTAGACAGAAAATTCTCAATATATAGCAGAACAGCATGGTAAGTTGTTGATAAGGAGGATTACATAACATTCTGTCTGAAAGATACAACTGCAGGCAACCACATATAGGAAACAATCTAAGAAATCACGGTTTAGGATGGTAGTCACAAGACCAGAAAGAAATGGCAATGCAACATAAAGAGCATTTCCTGATGGATTATAGATTGGACATGGAAAATAAAGGGAAATGGAATGAAAGAGTACTCCAAAGCCAAAGAGCTGGGAGAATGGTGATGCTGTGTTTTAAAACCATACACACCTAGGGAATTTTAAGAGATTAAAGCCACATATCTGCCCTGTATTTTAAGTGTGTAAGTACCCTTTACCAATAATTTTCCAACAAATTTTTTTTTTTTTTTTTTTGAGAGAGAGTACATGCATGGGGTGGGGTTGGGGACAAAGGGAAAGGGAAAAGAGAGAGAATCCCAAGCAGTCTCCCTGTTCAGTGTGGAGCCCAACACAGGGCTCGATCCTACGACTCTGAGATCATGACCTGAGCCAAAATCAAGAGTTGGATGCTCAAATGACCGAGCCACCCAGGCGCCCCTCCAATAAAAAAAAAAAAGTTTTAAGTTTGGTGCACAAGGTCTCCAGAACTTGGTGGCAATAATTGAGATTGTTTTGTAGCTGAGAACTTAATAGATTTACCCTACCGCCACCATGTACTACCCCCACATGGCATCATCATTTGCTGGCTTTGTGGCTTTCATACCTTGTTTCTGTATGCTTCTATCACTTTCATAACAAGTTGAATCTTTTTTCCCAAGTCGTTTAAAGCTTTTGGTCTCTCTTCATGTTCCATGTACCTCATCTGAATAGGCTGGCCATATTTCTATTAAGAAATTTTTTTAAAAGAAAAAAGTTATTAACAGAAAACAATTTTTAACAGAAGACAACTTTTATGGGCCTTTACATGCAGATGAATAGGAAAGAAAGCTGGCCAGATCAAAATATGCCTCCTCTGTTTCCCTACGTGAGGGTAAATTCCGGCGGCTACGTCCTTATGCAATCCTACACAGACATGCTTGACTAATGTTTGAGGTCTTTCTCTCATTTATTAAGATCACCTCTTGATTCCTCTCAAATCCAAAGGCAACACTTTTTAATTCCTTCAAAGTTAGGTGTTAAAAGTTTACAGAACTGTTAAATGAGAAGACCGTAAGGACAATACTCCATGCAGAATTCATGTATTTGAAACTTGGTTTCAAGTATTTCTGTGTATAACTCTGTAAACAACATGATTACTGGAATTTCTGGATATTCGTTATCTATTGAATATTATTTATGTTTATTAATTTGATGGAAATTCTGGATCTATGAGTATAGCACTTAAAAAAACAAAACAAAACCAAAAAAAAACAAACCTTTGGCCCCTTACCCTAAGTGCCTGGAATGGGGACTTTCTAAATGTTAAAATAATAGCCTTTATAACTTTGAGAAGGGGGATGCATTAGAAGAATGAATACCTATTTTCTTTTATATTCTTTATACACTTAAAATGTATTTTAGATTTTCAGATAAATTATAAAGGAAATAATAGAGCATCAAGTATCTCTCATTGCTATCCTCTAATGTTAACATCTTATACCACCATAGAACATACAACTTGTTAAAACTAAGAAACCAACACTAGTGCATTACTATTAACTGAACTCCAGACCTCATGTGGATTTCATAATTTTCTGTTCCAGGATACCATATTGCATTTAGTCTATTTACATCACATTTTTTATTGAAAAAAATTTTTTTAAGATTTTATTTATTTGCGGGGCACCTGGGTGGCTCAGTCGTTAAGCGTCTGCCTTCGGCTCAGGTCATGATCCCAGGGTCCTGGGATCCAGCCCCTCATCAGGCTCCCTGCTCAGCGGGAGGCCTGCTTCTCCCTCTCCCACTCCCCCTGCTTGTGTTCCCTTTCTCGCTGTGTCTCTATCAAACAAATAAAATATTAAAGAAAAATATTTTATTTATTTGAGAGAGAGGACATGCACGAGTGTGAGAGAGTGCATGAGCAGGGGAGAAGCAGAGAGAGAGAGCGCAAATGGAGGGGGAGAGGAGGAGCAGAGGGAGAAGTAGACACCCCACTGAGCAGGGAATCCCTGGGATCATGACCTGAGCCAAAGACAGATGTTAACCAAGTGAGCCCCCCAGGTGCCCCTTATTGTAAATGCTTTTGAAAAGAGGACCAAGTACTGTATTTTTAACAGCCAACTCAAAAAAAAAAAAAAAAAAAGCATACTAAGGCCTGTGAAAACTTCTATAACGTTCATTTCTATGGTTACTTATATATTTGGGGTAAAATAATTCTTCTTGAGGGCTGCTTGGCCTTTCAGTTATTTCTACTACCCTCAGATGCCTGGCTGCTCCTACTACCCAAAATATACACATTCTCTTAG